TAATGCTACTTATAGGAAATGTACTTCTTGATCACTAGAAATTGCTTCTAATAAGTAAGTGTTAAAGTTGCTTTGTCTCTTTTCCTTTTTAATACAAATTTGACTGTGTATGAGAAAACTGTACGTGTAGCTTTAGAATGGGATGTGTGATAAAACCTGCCAGATAGTCTGTGAATCAGATTCTAGCTTGCACAGAACATCATAAGTGTACTTGGATTTTACTGGTTGCGCTTGTGGCTTGCTGGCCAACATGTGCCAAAACCGATTCATGCTATCTTTATCATTAGTATATAATGCTACATCTTAGCAAGGGTATGACTAAGGATGGTAATGCTCGCATGGCAAACTCTCAGATATATATTTCATCAGGATGAAATGTTCAACCAAATCTATAATGATGTTGAGCACATTGGATTCCCTGGAGTGGTAGGGTTTAAGTATTCATATGATACATTCTACATTTTATCTGGCTCCTGAGAACTCGGTAACAGTGTAACAATCTTACTTTAATGTGATACAAACCCTGCCTGACTACTTGGCTTTTGCAGAGCAAAAACTAGCCTGAAAACCAATCAGCCATTTTCTGGTTCAAACATCTGCTTCCTACCTGACATGTACAGGTAATTCTAGGCTTATGTCCATTTGTTTAGTGATCAAAGTTATGGTGACTCTGAAAAAATAGATGTACAACTTGTCCTCCAGGTTTGTGTCCTCGCAGCACCCCTCCCAGTCATAGAAATCCCAGTTCTTGGGTATCTGATTTGCAGTTACTCGCAATGAGTTGCAGATATATGTTCGCCATTTGTGACCTTCCTTGCTGGCTTCACAAGCCAAGTCGATGGGGAAGCTGGCAGAGAAGGTCACAAGTTGATCCTGCTTTTGTCCCATCTGCAGCACTCATCCTGCTTGCACGTGGCCTGCACCAGCCCATGTTAATCTTCCCCCAGCTCACACACAGTCTACACCGGCTGTCCCCTTGTTTCCCCTCTGGCATCCCCAAGCTCCTTATCCGAGACCTCCACCTCTTCCCATGCCTCTTGGAGTTATGACAGCAAAGAGGAATACCAGTTCTGTTTCTCATCATAACTCCAGATACAAAATTAGATTTAGTAAATTAGATTTAGTTGTAGCTCCTTTTAATAGCCAAGTGGACTATAATTGAAGAAAGTAATTAAATCAATTAAAAATTAATTTGTTCTTTAGGTTATTTATTTACTTTTTTCATTTTTCCTTCTATTTGCCAGTTTCCAGATGGCAGATGTACTGTTCAGTACCAAGCATTGTAGTGACACAAGAAAATAGACTTTAATTCTCCTCATTTCTGCTGCTACAAGGAAAGATGTTTAGGGAGATTATTATGTAAGATGAAAGAGAACTTTTCCATTAGTAACTTTCTGAACAACTGTTATTAATACTACACCATTCACAATTAGAATTCAATTTCCTTTCCAGTCATGGTAGTTCTCTTTTTAGCTATCTCAAATTGTACATGAAATGTGAGGAATGTTTTTCAAAGTAATGTTATTATTTGCAGGAATGATTTTAAGGAAACAACAGGGTGCTATTAGTAGACATCATTTTCCCTATCAGAACAAAATGTAAAAAGTGGCAAAGACTTTTTTTTTTTACTAATTTTACTAATTTCTTCGTTGGTTTAAATGAAATACACAATTGTTTGAGACAATATGTGTTTATAATTTTTGCATATTATACTTGGGTTATATACGATAAAATATATACGATTAATGCGATACAGTACTTACAGCAGCAAACCTCACAATGCAGCATTTGTATTTGCGGCAAACCTCACAATGCAGTTTAGAGAACTTTTCATTTCATATGTTCAGTCATTTATCCTATTCTCTCTTTATTACCTAGCAGGCTCTTGCAACAGATGCAGAAGTCTTCAGTGAAAAAGAACTGGAGATAAAAATATTGCAAGATCAGATACAAAAGCTGATACAAGAAAATCGTGAATATCTGGAATCATTAAAGGAAGCACAAGATACAAATAGGTTACAGGTAATTTAGGTTTTCTTCAAGTTACTTAGGAAATATATATATAAAATTATATCAATCTTATAGATGATAGCTTAATAACAAGGATAAGAACCAAAAAAAGAATATTACAACCATAAATGCAGTTTGAGAACATTATAATTAGAGTTATCAAGATCTATTCCCATGTAAGTGCATATAAGATTGCAATTTTAAATTTAAGTTGAATCCAAATTTCAGTGGCTTTAAGTTCTGCAATTGTGTAGTTTAATAAATGCAATTTTGTTTCATTTCAAGAATGAAAAAATGGTAGAGCAACGACTTATAATTAACCAGCTAAATGACAAATTGGACAAAATGGCAAAAGCATCTGCCTCTAATGGTGCTTCTGGAGATGGACCAGCTGCAGTAATATCAACTAAAAGGCCCTATAGTGTCCCATTAACTAAAAGTTTGATGCAGATGAATAACATACCATTAAGATTGGATTCTCGAAAGGTATATATGAAAAAATATTTTTTATGTATGTTTATTATTTACAAATTATTAATTATAGTTGGAAACTGTGGTAACATGAACATCTGCAGGTGTATCAATTGAGGAAAGAAACTGTAATGAATAATTTCTTCCATCCCATTTAAAGATGGCAAATATAGTGCATTTATTTCTTCCATTTATATTTGGTGGTTTTGATATTTCCCCCATATTTGTTCCACCTTTGACAGCACAGCTGGGTTCTTTGTTCTGTTCTGTTCCAATATTTTAAAAGGTTGCCCATTCCTGATATGCCTGCACTGGACATCTGTGGAACATAGCAGTGTTGGGAACTGGCCTGAATAGTCTCTTGAATGTCACAAAAAATATCACTGTGGTTTGGATATTGTAAGATAAAGATCTCTGCCATAGGCTGATAAGAGATATAAACTCAATCCCAGAGGTAGATCTGGGATTGGGTTTATGCTACTGACATGATTCTCCTTGACACCATTAATTGGGGTATCATTCTGAACTGGAGTGGAGGATGTTGTGCTATATTTGGTTTTTTTCTATGCAAATAATTCTAGCTGGTGTTGGCAGGGAGAAAGGTGCAGCCTACGGCTACTCATCTGGAGATGCTTCAGGGTTCAATATTTTAAACCCTTCTGTTTAACAGCTATAAGTTACTGAGTGAGGTCATTTGTCAGTTGTTGATGTTTTCCAATTGTACATTTCAATCCTGGTGCCCGAGTGAGGCTGTCAGTGACAGAAGGCTGAGAATCTGGATGGAGAGGAATACATTCAGTCTCAATCACAGCAAAACTAAGGGATTATGGGTACTAAGGGCCCCAAATCCTGGAAATTTTCCATGTTTAGTCCTGGATGGAAGAGCACTTACAGCTGGTCCAGAATGCAGTGAGGTGGGTAGTAATGGATATAACACTAATGCTCTGTGAGCTCAACAGGTTGCCATTTGGCTTCTAGGTACAATTCAAAATGCTGGTTTCCACCTATAAAGCCCTTCAAGGTGTAGAGGGCCTGGCTATCTGACTATTATAGTATCTGCCTATCCTATATAATTGGACAATGCGGACATCTTCCAGGTCCAGTGATCAAATAGTATCATCTCACGGGCCTTGGACTTTTACCTTCTCTGTTATGCCTGCTCTATGTTATAACCTATCCCTTGGAATTTCATATCCCACCCTCACTTCATTTAAAAAGTCTCTGGAAATACTGCTTTCCCCCAGGCCTGGATTAGATGGTTGGTAAATATCTTATGGATTTTTTTTTAGTTAGTCTGAAAGTTTTCTCTTCTGGATGTACATTGCTTTTTGTTTTATTGTTCTTACTATTTTTAATGTTGTACACTACCCAGTCATATGGAGGTGGGCAAATTTCTGATTTGACAAATAAATAAAAATAACTAATATAGTTCTGATTATTAGGACAAGCTAAGATGTAAACACAGTAACTCATCCTAACCTCCTCCCAAAAGAAATGGGGATTTGATTCATAGAAAATTATTTTGCCCTACATTGTCCACTAAGTAATTTTTAAACAGAACCTGGATAAAAATATTTATTTTTTTAAAACTTATTTAAAAGGTACACACAAGCCCTCCGATGTATTCCTTAAGTAAAGTTATAGCTGGATTTCAGACCCGTAATCAGATCATGTTGGATCACATAGAAGAGCAAGATGAAGTCCTTCATTATTGCTTTTCTGATCACAGTGATGATGATGATGATGATGATGATGAAAACAATGCCAAGACTAGAAGGAGATTCAGATTTAGGTATGTTTTTAAACATATATAACCTTAGAGCTTGTGATATTTAATGTGTATATCTGTTAGCTCATGTTATGAAAATATATTTAAATTTGAAACAATAATTTTATAGTAGACGGTAAGAAGCTGAACCAACAGTCCACAATGTTTTCCGTAACATCTGGCGGGGGATCTTCAAAGGGTCCTCTTTGTGCTGATCTGAGTAAGAGGAGGTTAATAGAGATGGTCCCTCAGTTTGTTAAGTTCTAAGCTAGTTACAGTTTTAAAGATAAATACTAGCACTTTAAATTTTGCTCAGTAGGCAAGTAGCAACCACTGCAGATCCTTCAGCACAGGATCTTTCTGATTTCTGTCCCCTATATCATTTAGTAGGTTTCCTTTTAGGTTTCCTGCCTGAGCAGGGGATTGGACTAGATGACCTCCAAGGTCCCTTCCAACTTTATTATTATTGTTGTTGTTGTAGCCTAGCTATGACATTATTCCCCAATAATTGCAATTTTTAAATATTTACAAAGGTAGCCCATCTAAACTACTGTACATTGCAGTTTAGTTCCAGAATAGCTAATAGAAGGGGCGTTGGTCTTACCTGAACGCCTTTTCTCAGTACGGAGACGGAGACTCCACCAATGGGTTTCCTTTGTCTGCCTGCTCTTGAGACCAAGTATCCAAAACTTCTCACGCCCCCTCCTACTGGTAATCCAGTCTTAACGAGGGCGAAGCGTTTGAAGATTGACGAGGCGTTGGCTCTCAGCACCCTAACACAAATGGTCTAAATGACCCTAGGGTGGGTGTGGAGTCTCCGTCTCCGTACTGAGAAAAGGCGTTCAGGTAAGACCAACGCCCCTTCTCCAGTACAGGAGACGGAGACTCCACC